GCTAGGATAAAGCATGAACAGATAATAGATGGATGAATGGAGTTTTAAATCATTTTATTTTTGTTAAACTTATGTAAATTGATTATAAAGAGATGACAATAAAATTCTATTCAAAAGCGACTTTCTTTTATAATTGAGCATTTATTTCCATACAACCTACTAAGGGAAGTTTAAAATGCCAATGTGGTGGCCCCTCCAAAACCATTGAGTAAAGCCCACTTGTGTTCTAATAAGTTTGGTGTTACACTGGAAAGATGATCTAGAAATAAGTAAAAAATCTCTTAAATTAGGTATATACTCCCTTAATTTAAGTGGGTAATTGAGATAGTTTGCCAATGGAATTAATATTTTTACCCTTAAAATAAGATAAATAGATAATAAGCACTTGAAATAAGACAATTAAATTGTGTTTTCTTATTATAACTGTAAATTGTCTTGTTCTATTGGCAAAATGTTTCTTTTACCTCCTCAATTAAAGAAGAAATGCACTTTTTTTTATTTAAAATTACTTATCTAGATTTCGATTTTTTTCCAGTGTAGGCTTAGATGCAGACATCTCCCCTGGGTGAGATGTGGGTTTTTTTGACACCTATGCTTTTCTTACAACAAAGCAGTGAAGAAGTAAAGTATTGAATGTTAAAGAGAGGGGATAAAAAGAAATTTTGTTTGGAAAGAAGAGGCAGCAAGAAGAAACTATAAAATCCACCATACATTTAATAGTTTATAAAACTAATTCTAAATCAGAATCACAGCACTATAGTCACTGTGTCACAAACACATCAGTGTGTTGTCAGTTAGGCATATGGGGTATCATGATTGAGAAGTAGGTTTCCAGTGTAGTATGTTTTGCAGCTGCTTTGTCTTGATGGGACCCCTAAACAAAAAAAAAAAGAAGCTTATCGTATACAGTCAAACGCAGCTTCATCTGATGAGGCCTTAAACAAACATATTAGGCATTAGGTTTCTCTGCACGAATCCTTTGTGCCTTATCTCCCACTAGCACTCCTATCCTTCATTAAAACAAGCTGTGCAGGACCACCTGTTAGTTACTACCTCTGTGCTCAATGTTAAAGGTTCAGACTAATGACCTTGGCAAACATGTCTTGTTTAGGTAGCTGTCCTTTACAGATTCTAGTTCCCCTGTGCCAGAGGCAGCAATGCACAGAAAGACCAGCACATATTTCTACCTTTAATAGCTTTTGTAAAACCCCAATGTTGTTTTTATAGCTGGCTAAATGAATGTATTGAACTTTCGGTTTCAATGATACCAGTGCCAACATCACGATCTAGTCGACCAATATCCTTCCCTTTTGATAAAAGCTTTACACATCACTGTGCTGTGGTGAATCTGGAAGACCTGTTATTTCCCTCAACTTTAATCTATTCATTGTTAACTTTGAATTTTGCGTCTGTATCTTTCTTTCCTTATGATACTAGCTATTTTGAGAGGGGCACGAGTGAGACACAAAAAAAAGTACACCCACACACAATGTTTCCACCACCCTTCCTTACAATTGGGACAGTGATTCAAAGCCTCCAGCCAATTTTCTTTTCTCCTTGTAAAGTAGCAATGGTAACTGCGCACAAAAATTAAGATTTTTAGGCCGCTGGAAATATCTCCAAGGTATTTGTGTCTGTATGTATTTACATAATGGAATCTGGCTCTTTGTGTTTTACTTTTTTAAAATGTCATCCCCCTGCCTGAGTGGTATTTTAGTCAATGATAATGCAGAATGTGATTCTCTGTGGGGAATTGTTGTCCAATTTTACTCCAAAACATGTTCTTTTTAGATGCGATGGGTGGATAATCCCATAGTAATTATACTCTAGGTAATAAGCAACTTGATGTATACTAAACATTTAGGGGAACAAATTGTTATCAAATCCCCTATCATACATATAGAATTGTGTATTAATACATACATTAACCACTACAATGTTTGCAATGGTACTTGTCCATTCTGTACTATACACTGTATCTGTACATAAGGTGCAAAACCCCATGCAGAGCAGCTGACTCTCAGTTACAGTTGGGTATGCATGAATGGAGAGATGCATACTCAAATGAGCTATTAATAACACAAAATAAGTAATAGCAAAACTGTACACTCCAATTTTATTTTATTCCAAATGACACTTGCATGTCATTAGTTACCAATGCAAAACACAAGAGACAAAACCGATGGACTGTAGCATGTAAAATTGTGGTACTGTATATTTAAGTTAAGAACTATCAATAAAGCATGACCCCATAAGGTGAAGTGAATTAAGATAAAATTTAAGAAAAGATGAGTTAGGCAACATTACTGGTATGAAACATTGTATATTTCTGTGGCATAATATTATGATCATCAAAGCATGAACTTTAGAGAATAAATTGAACTGAGCTATGGTATCTCTAAATGATGTCTCAAGTACTGTGAGTTGTTGGACTGGATGTCCATAGAACAGTCTTGTTTGTCTAGTGCATCCCTAATACCATCATGAATTGGTAATGTAACAATAGTTTTTCATGTTCTGGCTAATCAGTTAACAGGGTCTTGAGATACTTTGCTTCTGAAGGGTATGTAAAGAAGTTAATTCATTTAATAATAAGAATTAATAGGGCTTTACCAGGTTCTGAAAACTTTATGTATCTAACTTAAAAAAAAAAACACAAAAAAAATTCACACCTCTTCAACAGCGTGAAAAAACTTTAACAGTAACGCTTTATAGCTTCTGTATGACTCTTCAGTCTCTCGCCTCTTTGTGGAGGAAATATGTCTTATCTTCTTTGAAATGTAGTCTCTCTTCATAAGGTTTCCATGTATTTCTTTCTGTTGTTTCCCAGCATTCTTTAGATTTGCCACTGCATTTCAAGTCTTTATTTTAAGAAGTAACTAGAGCATGCTTTTCATTTTCTTTATCACCTAAACAGTTAAAGATATGCTGCTTAGTGTGGGATCATCATCCTGTTGATGAACAAATTTCAGTTCTTACTTTCGCACTGATGGCTTCACATTTGACTCTAGAATATTTTAGAATATGAAGTAGACTAAAAAGACTGCTTGGTAGCCAGTTTTTTTGGCTGCAAACAAACCAAAATTGCCACCTCCACCTCCATTTTTTGAGCTGGTTTGAGGTGGTTGTGCCTCACAGCACAACAATGCATCTAAACCTAGCTCTATAGAACTGTAGTTCTGTTTTAGATGCATTGGGACAAGCTCTCAAAATGAGGCATAAGAGGAACCCAACCTTCTTCAGCAAAAGACCTTGTAATTTTTCACAGACCCATCCCTTTTCAATAGAGATATTGTATACATGCTGGCAAGCTTTACTTTTTCCCCACCTAAATGTAGCTGTCCTGTCATCATTATGGATAGACACCTGGTGCCTGACTTTTAGCAGTTCCACATGCAAAAACATGGCCTGAAACTAGTGTAATTCTTTTTTCATGCAAAACTTGTGATCTGCTAAAAAGATAAAAGAAACAAAACACACCCAGCTCACAGAAATAGTCCAACTTTTAGCAGCTGTGCCTTTGAGGAAACAAGAGTTTAAACATTAAGCCAAACTCTGCTAAGTTTTCACTTTAAAACCAATACACACACTGGCTGTTTGAATTTAGGAACCCTGAATCTCCACCATTTATTGTGAGGGATTAACTCTTGGATATTTCAATTAGACTAAACAAATGTTTAAATAACTGTTTTTTACATTTCTAAACTTCACAGTTGACTGTGTAATGGTGTGACTTTATCAACTCTCTGATGGAAGCCACTTTTACAAACTATGGGATACTTTATAATTATACATAGGTCTGGGATATTGCTGACACAACTAATCATTGCTTCTCCAAAAGCTTTTTTTGAGAAGCAAAAAAAATTGTATTTATCACTCCACTTCTGTGGCTAATAAACATGATATTTAGTGTTGATACTGTCTTGGTGATATTTTGTTTGCTCTTTTCTCCAAGGTGTCCATTGTTAACCAAAGAGCAGTGATTAGATGGGTCATGGAGACACCTTTAACATATGAGGTCCTCTGCATTGTGCATTCAGGGTTAAACATTGGGTAGGGGGTAGAATACACATCATAACCTTGTACACAAATATTGAATTCACCTGTGATTTTTTTTATCTCATTCCTATAATTTCTATATATATACTGTATGTCTATATATATATATATATATATATATATATATATATATATATATATATATATATATATATATATATATATATATATATATATATATATATATATATATATATATATATATATATATATATATATATATATATTTCTATTTTATTTTTATTTTTTTTTGGGTTTTTGGGTATACATACACTTTTAGTACGGATCTTACCCAATGTTTTATATGCTACTAAAGCTTTATTTTATGCTATCACAGGATATGTGTTTAAGATTAAAATTAATTTGCTAATCTGACTTCTAAAATTATTAATTATTCATTTCTAAATAGCTTTTTAGTCCATTACAGCACACTGCCGGCATGACAATTAATTTCTGACTGCAGCTAGTATATTAAAAATGGTCCCTGCTTTTGTTACCTAATAAATATTTGTGCATTACTTATATTATTTCTATTATATTGAACTTGTTTGTTTTTTCATGATGTCATACAAATAAGCACTGTGTTTAATAAATATTTCTGCGTAAAAATCACACACACCTATAAAACTATTACATGCTCAGTAACTTTAAATTTAAGAAATTTAAAAATTATTTTTAGAAACATTAATAATAAAAATAAATCCTTTTGATAACACGTCTAGTTATAAATAGAAAAAGTTTAGTCTGTTTTAATATCTTTTAATATTCTAACAGCTGATTTCAACTGTATTTAAATATATATATATATAATAAGAAAGTATGTTTGTTTTACTATTTAACATTTTTATAACGTGGATGTATATAGAGTCAAGAGTTTACCATTTCTGTTTATTTAGATTTAAATATGTGAGCGGAAAAACTGAACTCATTAAATGGGCTCCTGGGAAACTTGGTAGACACGTGTGCTAAAACAATGTGACATTTATTGGATCAAAAAAGGCTTTCTTTTTCCATTCCGCATGAAAAAGCCAAAATCTGTCCCACTTCCCCTTCAGTGCAAAAGAAAAGAAAGAGGCCACACATTGTTTTTCTACACCATCTGGAAATTGTGTGTTATGTATTACATGATATGAAGACATGATATAGAACTGTGCTGTGGGACTTTTTCAAATGTCGTGGACGTAAGTGCAGAGGAAGTATCTGTTTCCTTGTTTAGATATGTAAAAAAAACCACAGCACTGGTTCCTGTACTTAATCTGCATTTGGGGTTCCCTGATGCTGACACATACATTGCAATTTGTGTTCCCCCAGTAGTTTTTTTTTTTTCTCAGGGTTTTCCTTGCATAAATATTGTGTCATTTGTTTCCTCAATGAACCATGGCATGTAAAATAGTGGAAAATTACAGAACAATCCAAAGAGAGTTTTCTTTTTATCACATGCAAGGATAAACCAACACAAACAATAAATAAATATTTATTCATTTTCAGAAACAGCTTATATTCTCAACATGATTTCAAAAGGTTATCTGTTGAGGCAGATCAGACTGAAGCAGAAACAGTAATGTTGAACATCGTCAAAAACAAATAAATGTCTCTGCTTTTTTTTAATATACATTGTTATTTTGATTATGTAAGAGTTTATGAAAAAGTCTCGATTCCAAAGAAAACAGACGCTTTTGAAAAAAAAAAAAACTGCACTCTGTGTTTATAGTAATCTAACTCACACCAAGCATCATTGTTGGGGGAGTTAAAATCATCAAATGCCAAAGCGGTTAACTGTCAAACTGTTACTTCACTGAGTTGCTCATTCAGGTTTCATTTCCTGCAAGTGCTATTAAGTCAGTTTATAATGTACCCAAAGAGGAAGGTTTTGACGAACGTCTTCAATCAACAAGGTTCCCTGGCATCAGAGACGGTTAACAGTCTGGAACTGTGTCCAGTATCTGTTCTATCCTGCCAGCTGAAACACTGAAGTATTTCACAACAACCATGGCCTCTGTTTTTGAGGCTGACTTGTGCGTACGTCAGGCTCCTTCAGAAGGCGTTTATAAATAGTGTTTCATTCCACTGGATATTAGTCAGTTGTCAGTTCCACGTCACAAAGAGAAAGGGAAATGTTCATATTGCTGTCCTTTTCGAATGTTGATGTAAGCAAAGGAAAGGCCTCAGATAGTTGTAATAATGTTGTTTCGAAGTTTATGACAGAGTCCATGTGTGTTTTAACAGCTGTGGTTGAGTCCACCATTTCGCTTTTTCTGTCAATCAACAAATCCTCCATAAAAACAGTTCTGCATAGTTTGGTTTCTTCAGGTCTGTAAAGGCCATGTCTAAGGCACCAAGTGCATTGGCCTGTTTGTGAACATATACAGGACTGAGGCCCGGCTTTATATCCCGCTACCACTTCCGCTAAAACTGTGTGTGCAGGGATCTGTTTTAACATGTCCTCACTATCTCTGCTTTGGATCTGGATCTCAGATGGGCTCTGGGTCCGGTAATTTCCCACAATGACAGTCTCCACAAGAGTTTCTGTGTCCTGACCATAAAGGTTCAAGGAAGAAGAATGCATCTGGCAGCTCAAGCCCATCCCGCTGTCTTCTGTCTTTCTGATATCATCTGCTTCCATGCTCTCATCTTGCAAAGGATAATCCGTGTGACTGTTGGAAGAGCTCTCTGGTCCTCCCATGCTTCCACAACCACTGTCCTCTTGTCTTGCAGGACATTGTCCTCTTTTCGCTGCAGGGTCTGTTTCTACGCTGACGCCGCTGTCCAAGCTAGTCCTTCTGTTCTCCTCCTCACCATTGTCTGTTATTGTGATGGTGGTTTCAGGGAGGTTTATAGGTTTGGTATTGATTTTGTAACTGGAAAGAAACCATGCTTTGTCTGTGACCACCTCCATGGTCCCTTCTGCAACAGAGAGTGGCATCCAGCCACTTACTGGTGATTTCTACATAAGGGGCAATAGAAGACAAAGGAATTATGAGCCTCTGATTTCATATTATCATCATCATTTGGACAAATTCTTCCAAGTTTGTCTTACCAAAGCCACAGGTGTTTTTGCAGGGCGTTTCAGGTAGCACAACACAATGCTGGTAATAACAATAGCAAAGGCCATGATCCCCAGAATAGATAAGGATGATGCAGCAATGATATAAAATTCTGAAAGAAGAAAATAAATCATGTTTAAAGTTCTAAACTGATGACCATGTATGTAATTAGATGAAGGCAAAAACTTTACAAACATAAAAGGTTCAGGTAACTAAAGTTATGCTTTCATAGGAGAAACCTTCAATTTTTTTGTTACAAATGCAAACTTCTTTGGATTTTGTAAGGAGTTCGGGTTATTGATCAACACAAAGGCATATTTATAACTGTTCAATAAAAAGAAAACAATATGCAGTTTTAATTTTTTAAATAGTAGAGAAAATATGTAGTCAACTGCAGTTACAAAGGGAAATCTTTTCACAGTATACCTACACAAACTTTGCTCATGCATCTAGAGACTGAAGAAGTTACCATTATTAGCAAAAAACTAAAGCTCATTTAGACTGAAAACAGGTTTCATTTGTCACATCTTTTCAAATCGGTTAAGGTCAGGACTTTCACTATTGTTCATCCTTACACTTAATGTTTAAAATTGTTATTCACAGAGGTGGTCAAGTATTACATTTTGTGCATTTCTAGACCAGGATGATCCATCCACATACATAGTTCAAGCCAGGGAATGGTGTGTTCAAGGCGATGTGCATTGTTAGTTTTCAGGAACACCTAATATCTAAAGGTTCTGCTTTGGTCTTATCTGACTAGAGGACCTCTTTTTACATATTTACTGGGCTCCTTGTATTAGCCATGTTGCAAAGGAAAAAAAGGATATTAAGAAAAATAATAATGAAACAAGATTTAGCAGTGGTGTTATTCTTATTATCCCTCCACAAAGGGCAGGTTCCTCTGTTAAATGCTCTTCCTGCCTGGCGTTTTAGTTTAGGTGACAGTCATATCTTAGTTGGTTTTGCAGTTATATAATGTTAACTAATACACTAATTTCTGAAGGCATTCAGTTGCACTGTATTTTATACGACATCACAATAAATGGAGTCAGCATGAATCCATGCCACACTTTGTACTTTTGATGAAAATTTTTTTTCCACTTCACTTTGTTTGTCTATCATGTAGAAATACATAAAATATATATGTAATTATGTTGCAGCATCATTACCAAATGTAAATATGAGCAGATTATGAATACTTTTTAAAAGGCATTTCAAATTAGAGCAAAGAGTAAACATGATTGGCCTTTTTACCTTGCTCTGGGAGAAACAAACACTGTTTTTCAGACACAGGGCTGGAGTTGAGGCCACCATTGCCTTCAACTTTCCCGCTGACACAGTACATTCTTCCCCAGTGGAGAGATGAGAAAGTCTTTGTCCTCATAGCTTTTCCCTCATCATCCTTTAGAGTGACCGTGGTAGTCTGTTGATAAAAAAAAAAAAAAAGAAATGAACTCATCAGGGTTTTATCCAATTTCAATTTCTTTTTCAAAAGCCATGAATAACTAAGTTGCAGCAAGACTGAGTCTTATGTGCGAGCCAACAAGATATTGTTGGTTCTTATTGTTGCATGTGCTTTCTAAAGGTCCAATGTCATTCAGTTTGTTTTTAAACCTTATTGTTGGTCTCACCTTGTTTACTTCACCAATTTCCTCGAGATATAAAGTGTAGGCAGCTCCAAATGGGAAGACTTTTCTTAAGATGGGTTTTTCATGAACATAAACTGTAAGTTTGCTGGATGTAGCCTTCAAAGTGAAGGAGGGTGGTAGCAATTCACCTTTGAGAGAAAAAAAAGAAAAAAATCACAAAAAAGCACAAAATAATTGCAAAATTAACTTATTCTATGTGAAGTTTGATACATTCACATGTGAAATTAAAGTATTTACCTTCATTGATAAGAAATTTCTTACTAACTTCCCAATCAGACTTTTGCAATCCTTTGACCAGTTGAACTTTGACTTGGTACTTTGGCAAATAGCTAGATATATTGCTAATGAGGCAGTAGTTTATTCGGACTCCCATGCAGTTTGGTACATTCTCCCATTGATTATGCCTGGAGGCAGACAAATTGCAGGTCAATAAAAAAGGAAAAAGAAAAATGTGACTCACAGGAGCATACAGAGTGTCATGAAAGCTGAACTACAGAAATGGGAAACTGATTAAAAATCCAAAAACATCTGTATATCTACATTTTCTACATACGTTCGCATCTGAACGTTATACACTGCTTCTGGTGGGGCGTCCTCAGGATGTTCCCACAAAACCGTAACCACTCCATCTGAAATATGGACTTCAAGTTTTTTAGGTGGAGGGATGATTGCTCCTGTAACAAGAAATGTTTCATATTAAAATGTATACAAGCGCTATCACAGAGTCCTTTAATATCTTCCAAACATGAATTGCTTCTACATGGTTTGCATAAAGGGTGAATATTTTTTTGTCTAAATTTATGCTAAATAGATACTGAGAAGGGTATAATTAGACAGTGTTCCAAAGCTTTGACCCAAAGTAAAAAGAGGAAGCTTAGATGACTAGGGAGTCAAAATTCTGAAAATCATCATCACATGCACTGGGTTTTTTCCTGAAAGGGAACAGAGAATTACTACTTTCTAGGTGTGTGACTTTATGCGGGACAAAGAGAAAAATATCCCAAACAACCCAAAGGTCAAGTTTAGGAATCCCTGGATCGAAATTACAGTTCAAATTGCAGCTAAGCTTCTATAGAACAGTCTACTTCTTTTGGGGGCAAAACTCTGATTATAAAAATAAAAGCCACGTTTTAGAAAGAAGGAACATTTTAGACATGTGAAATCATCATTAGTACATCAAGACTGGCTTATCTTGTACCTTCATCCGATCATTTATCATTAATATTTGAGGAAAAAAGACACAAAACTGTTTGAATTTTTTCGCCCATTATGATTTATGAAACCACTTGTAATAACATTGTACAATTTCAATAATGCTCAGACGGCTTATAGTAATAGGTTTAATTCATTTAAATGTCAAAGGAGACTTAAGATCAAAAATTAAATCTCTAATTACCTGAAACATGGTTGATGAAACAAAAAAGAAAAAGAGGAATCAGTGCCTCCTTTTTCATCTCCATTATGAATTTTGGAAAGATAATCACTCAGTCAAAATCCCTTCAGTAGCTTCCAAAAATGTCCTTCATTCCAAGTATCAGCGCTGGTCGACTAAAACCATCTTCAGACTAGATAAATATCACCCCCGAGGATACTCGGCTTTCTCCTCTGTGATACCAATTGATCTGAAAAGAACATAAAAGCCAGACTGTCTCATTCTCTCCGCCTTTTCACGGAGTTTTCTGTTGTGACAGCAACAGTGACGTGGTTGCTAGTTTCACATCTCTCCCTCTAGCTCAGCCTCTACTTCCTCCTTTATATTTTCTTATTTTCCTTTCCATACAGTCACAATACACAGACTGATCTACTATCTATCTGTCAAGGGGTAAGTCCATCTCCCCGACTGAGAGGGGAAAAAGAAAACTGTCAGGAAGACCCTGTTCCATTTTTAGGACTTTAAAACTTTTTTAATATTCAATGATAATTAACATTGTATTTTATACAAAAAAAAAAAAAAAACACAAATAACACAAATATACTATTCACATTTTTTTCAGAAAAACATCTCTTAGTAAATGTTTGCCTGCTGACAACTGAGAGCATGTTTGCGCACTCTGTATTGGACTTTTCCTGTCATCAGAGAAACCTCATTTATGCTCAGCTGCAGTGCAGGTGGTTTTTGCACAGCTGCATTAAAAGAGATTAAGCACAAATATATTGTTTTTAATGAATTACCAGTTTTTTTTTTAAATGGATGAATGTATATTGATATACCGGTATTATGCATTTATAATCCATTCTAATGTTTTTATACAGTTCCCTTACTAAAGTGCTTATTTCTTAAACCTCATAGAGACTGGTAGAAAGGTAAGAAGATAGAGGAAGGGGTGCAAATTCATTAGAAGAAAAACGTCAAGAAAAACCAATAAAAAAAAAAAAAAGTGGTTTAGATTAAACCATACTTTGTTTTAGAATGACTCAGTAAAAATCTAGACCTAGATGCAATTGAGAACCTGTTGCAAGAGTTGAAATGTAATGCATCTAGATTCTCGTTTCAGACCAAGTTTATGCATGTTTACAAAGAACATGCATTTATTCAAATGTGAAAAGCTAATAGACACATATAAAAGATTTTCAGGTATTTAAAAATATAACTTTATATTGTATGATACTGATAAAAAACAACAACAACAAAAAACATGCAAACATTATGCACAACTTTCTGTTGACCAGTAAAAGTCTGAAGTTGTGGTTTCAACATGGAACAGGTTTGAGCAGCACTTTCATCTGTACTTGGCAGTTGGAATACCATAACAGTATACATTCTTATGGTTGTGATGGTTGCCATAGTGGCCTTGTATAAACAATGGAGAATCCACAAGCGAGAGAGCGGAATGCTATCTCCTAAGAGATCATCTCCCTCTGACTTCCCTGTTCCAAGTTCAGAGTTAAATGCACAACGCCTTTGTATTGGAATGTGCAATGGTGGGGCTGCGATATAGACAGTTACCAAGCTGTACTGTTTTAAGCAATAGGATAACACCCTTAAGACCCATTTATTTTATTAATTTACCATTTTTACTGCATATTTAAAATAAATATATTGTGGGTTAAGTCACTCTCTAACAATAGTTGCTATTCTTCCAGCATTGTGTTTACCATCATTTATCAGAGTGTAAATGTGCGATAAAATTCAAATATGTCCTATTGCCATTCTTTTTCTCTTAAGCCTATGCTGATATGCATTCATTAGCAAGAGTTTGAAGGCTAGCCTATAGACAGCAACTGAGTAAATTTACGTGAATACTGTACTCAAGCACATTTCTTGAGTATCTTTACTTGAATATTTTTTACTACATTTCCTAGTCAAATATTTTACATTTTAGTCCACTGCATTTCTAGGAAGCTATTTTTTTTCTCGTTCAATTTGTCTCAGCTTAGCTTTGTAATCCCTTGTTGCCTTTTTTTCTCCCTTGAAATGCAATTGGCCACAATATGTTTCTCACTAACTTCATCCTTCAGAACAGGTATCCTGGATGTTTAAGGAATTCCTCTTGTTCAACATACCTGGGTCAAATGGTAGCCCATTAACAGGCATATGCAGAACTTTGACATGCTGAGGAGGTAGTAATTACCTCGAGAGAGAAGAACTAAGACATGCAAGATACCCTTGAGTACTGAATTTAACTTTCACTTGTAGTTGAGTAAGATTCGACCATGAATATCGCTACTTTTACTCAAGTACTATAGTTGAGTAGTTTATCCCCCACTTTCTATAAGTTGGCTAAGCCTCTTATATTAGCTTACATAAATGTACCCTACTAGGCTAACAGATGAAATATAAAAATTCAGATTTAAAAGAATAGATGCAATTTGAATAGCGTGACTGACTACATGATGATGTCTAGATGGAAATCTTACATTTATCCATTGCCATGCTACACTGTACAGGTGGATGCATTCTGATCCCATGTATATTTGAGTGGGTCAGTGTATCTATGAAGTAACCCAATGGATTACAGCAGCAGGTAACTATTTTATTGCATTTATAAATGAATTTTCTATATTGTTAAGAAAATGTAAATACCCTCCAGGCTTTACAGAACTTCATTTCATTTAACTGAGGTTGTTTTTCATTTCTGATAAACAACATTTCTCTTAAGCATTAAGTTTAGCTTCACACCTCCTCCTCACATGGGATTTTTTTTCAAACTTTTACTCCCTGGTAGGTGTTCGATAAGAGAAAAAACAGTTGCTTGTTTCTAGCTATTGTCACCTTTTGGTTTCTGTGTTTAACTTGGACAGAGAACTGCTGAGTAAATGTGAAAAGTGGGTGATCCATGTGAAAATGTCAGAAGTCATCCGCATGTCACCTAAAAAAGGGGCTTTTTCATCTGTTATAAGAGTTTCCCCTGCCAGAAAGGCAAAGAATACAACATAGCAGCCTCTAGTGGTGGTACAGTAGGCTACAACTTACACAAATGATCATCAAGTCTTTTAAAACTAAATAAAATTATTGCTTAAGTCAGATTAAAGCTATATATAATGTAGTCACTATCAATAAAAGTGTAAATGACAATGATGGAATATTATGCATGTAGAGAGGGTTAAAACTAAGCAACAAAACATTTGCACTGCTGACAGGGTGACTCATCAAAATACCGCAGCCGCTCACAACATAGGATTAGTGGTTTGGCCAGGTAAATTCAGGTTTACCTTTGTTTTTTTGTTTGAAAATGTCAGTGGATGAACAAAAGAAAACAACCCTTTTGAATGTAATGGGAAGGTTCAAATTGGGCATTCTGCATTTTCAAACATTTGCTTTGCTCGACTGCTCTCTCACTCACTCACTCACTCACTCACTCACTCACTCACTCACTCACTCACTCACTCACTCACTCACTCACTCACTCACTCACGTTTAAACTTGTGAAATATATTTCAATCTAAAAAACTCAAAAAGAGAAAAGACAATTAGAAATTTATTGATACAATTACTTTGTCTTTGGCGCTCAGATCTCAGCAGGAAACATAGCGCTTAATTTTGATAGATATGCATGAACAGGAGCAAAGAATAGGGCTGTTTCCCCCCCAGGCCTGAAACTGGTGGTGGAGTGGAGATAGATGAAGTTGGTCAGTCTGTAGACTGCTGGTTAGAGAGATGGTATGCTGAGCTTTATGGGGAGAACCAGTGGATTGCGTGAGCTGATACTAGAGCTTCACTCAGGGACTTGGAAGATGGAAGTCCAGTTGGATAACACAGGTTGAGAGAACCTATTCATGATGAGCAAGCATGAAGCGACAGTGGAGAGGAAAAACTCCCCGCTGGAAAGAAACCTCTGGCAGAACCAGGCTCAACATGGCGGTCTTCTGCCGGACCAGTTGAGATGAGACAGGGAACGCAGTAAGAGTCCGGGAGGGATGACACTCTGATGAAGCTTTAGCTACGAAGGTCGAGGAGGCGCTGGAGGTGGGTTGAAACGGTGTCATCTGAATGAAGTCACAGCGCATCCGCCGCTCGCGCACAGGAGCAGACTGATGCGGATCGGAGGCCTTTTAAGATGAACTTCAGCTGCTGATTGGCTTTCGTGGAGGTTTGGTGCAAAGCTGATTCGCTGTGGATGTATGAAAAAACATTGAGTTTCTTCAGTTGAACTTCCAAGTAGGCTCCAGTTGTTACAGCACCTCAGAAGAATATGGAAACATGATTTTCTTCTGATTTTTTTTTTCATTTCTTCTTCAATTGACTTTTGAGTTAAACTTTTTTCTACAACACAGGATATTACATGTTCAGCTCAGTTAGAAAGTGGATTTTTGTTGGCGGGGCCAAAAGGGAGCAAAGCTATCTTAGTCTGCAGACTTTAAAAATAAATTTGTTTTTCAGTCATTTGCAGTGCATTTAAGTGCATGTTAGCCACAAAGTAAAATAGAAGAGTGGATGTAATTTACATTTTATACAAAAAATAACAAAAACAAAACTTGAACACAAAGTAGCATATGTCTATAAAGCATTTTATATTGGTCTGTCCTCCACAATGCAGTCAAAATTCCATGAACTGTGCTTTTTCATTTTGTGAAAGTGTAAAAATGTCGTCACACACTTTGCCTCTATATAAGTCTTGTTTAAGTTGTTTACTAAAGCTGAACTTTCATGTTGACTGGATTTAAGTTAAAGGTATAGATAATCTGGGTTGATCATCTAAATAAGTGTAAATAAGTGCTCCTAATTGTCATTCATTCTGATGATATGTTTACGTGAGGTCGTCCTATGTGCTTGCCCGCAGAGAGCTCTCGTCGCAAAGCATTATGGGATTTGCTGTCAGAGCAGCCCGATGCTGCCATAGGCTGTCGCTAGGGGTGACTAATAACAAAGATGGCGCAGGCACTGCACGGAGGAGGAGTTACATGACCAATGGAGCAAAAAGCAATGATCATCAGTCCAAAAGGTCAGTTAACTGAGTTAACTATAAAGTCCCTGCTGTATGTAGACACAATAAGCTTGTATGAGCTATGAGAACAGCACATTTTAAAGAGGGTGTTCACGAGGACAAATGGGGACGTGCATGGTCTTGCACGTGCATTTTTTTTTTAAGTTGAGAGGGCGGGTCTTTTGAGAAATCCTCCATTATACCTTTAAGGATTTTATTCAGTTATTTTTTAAATAAAAAAAAAATAGTAGAGAAGCAAACAAGAAACAAAGTGAACATCTATGGTCTGTTAGTTTATA